AGTGGTCAGTAGTGGTAGCTGGGTACCGTCTAGCTCTTCTGGTCTCAGGAGAGAGGAGGCTGTGTTCATGTGGGCCATTAGTCCTTTGGACTAACCGCTTCCTTGAGTCTTTGGTTTTCTTCGTTCTTCTTTGCTCCAGGTGAGAGGAGACCAATAGTTGCCTCTTAGATGGCTGCTCTGCAAGCTTTTAAGACCCCAGACACTACTCACCAGGCTAGGATGTAGAATATTCTTTATGAACTGTGTTTTGCCAATTGACCTAGATGTCCCCTGAGACTATGGTCCTTAGCCTTCAAGTCCAATAGTTTAGTCTCTATGTTTAAGTAGTTTTTATAACTGTGTCCCCTATGTGCTCTATTATATATATGAGTATATATGCAGCACTTAGAAATATGTATGTAGAAATATCCACAGCCATACCTATATATGTATGTGAGTGTACTCCTGTATGACCTCCTTCACCTATTTAGCCATATATATTATCCTATGTATCTACTCACAAAATACTGTTTGTTATTACTGTTGTTGCAGGATTGTATATGTTACAGCATTTACTGTAGTTGCCCTTTATTCTTACGTACCTCTCAGTGCCTTCTTTTGCCTTGGTCACGTTGTGCTGACATCCCACATATTGTGTATTGCCTTTCCCTTCACCAGAATTAATACGTGTCTACTGTCTAGTTAGTGATTCTCCTCCCTCCCTATCCCGTCCCTGGTGACTATCAAAGAATGTTTCTTTCTGTGTATAACTTTCATAATAGTGGGCTCTTACAGTATTTGTCCTTTTGCGATTGACTTATTTCACTTGGCATAATGTCGTACAGATTCATCCATGTTGTGAGATATTTCATGGATTCACCTTTATTCTTTATTGTTGCACAGTATTCTATTGTGTGTATGTACCACAGTTTGTTTAGCCATTCATCCGGTGATGGGCACTTAGGTTCCCATCTTTTTGCTATTGTGAATAATGCAACGAACATGGGTGTGCATATGTCTATTCGTCTTATGGCTCTTATTTCTCTAGGGTATATACTAAAGAGTGGGATTGCTGGATCATATGGTAATTTCTATTTCTAGCTTTTTAAGGAAGCACCTTACCATTTGCCGTAGTGGTTGTACCATTCTACATTCCCACTACCAGTGTATAAGAGTTCAAATCTCCCCACAACCTCACCAGCATTTGTTGTTCTGTTTTTTTGATCAGTGCCACTATTGCTGGGGTGAAATGTTATCTCATTTTAGTTTTCATTTGCATCTCTCTAATGACTAATGATCTCGAGCATCTCCTCTGTGTTTGTTAGCCACCGGAATGTCTTCTTTGGTGAAGTGTCTGTTCATGGCCTTTGCTCGTTTTTTAAATGGATCGTTTGTCTTTTTGTTGTTGAGGTGTTGAAATTTTCTATAAATTTTAGAGATTAGCCGCTTGTCTGATATGTCATAGCCAAAATTTTTTTCCCAGTCTGCGGATTCTCTTTTCACTCTTTTGATGAATCTTTTGATGAGCATAAGTGTTTAATTTTTAGGAGAATCCTAGTTATCTAGTTTATCTTGTATTTGTGCATCTTTTGTTATGTCTGCTATTTTATTTATGCTGTATATTAGAGCCCCTAGTGTTGTCCCTATTTTTTCTTCCATGATCTTCATAGTTTTAGGTTTGACGTTTAGATCTTTGATCCATTTTGAGTGTTTTGTGTATGGTGTGAGGTATGGATCTTGTTTAATTCTTCTGCAAATGGATATCCAGTTTTGCCAGCACCATTTGTTAAAGAGACTATCTCTTCGCCATGTAATGGACTTTGACCCTCTGTCAAAGATCAGGTGTCTGTAGGTGGATAGATTTACTTCTGGGTTCTCGATTCGGTTCCATTGGTCTACGTGTCTGTCATTATACCAGTACCAGGTGGTCTTTGTCAGACTTGCATAAGAACTTTCTTACAAAAAGTTTTTATAGCGCACAGCACACACATAAATTCTCATACACTTGGCCTTGGGAGGTAGTCCTTGTAGCTTTGTTGTTGTTCTTCCTGCTTCCTTTCTTGGGAAACTTTTAAGATGAAAAAAGTTTGCCGTGATGTAAAGATCCTTCCAGGTGTTTAAAGGAATCACACAAAATGGAAAGTAAGGTGTTTTGATTGGTTTGTTTTTCTTGGCTGTTGTCGTTAGCTTCTGTCGAGTTTGCCCTTGACCCATGGCGACCCTTATGCAAGAGAACGAAACCCTCCCTGGCCCTGCACCACCCCGTGATTGGTTGTGGATCCGATTGTTGTGATCCACAGGGTTTTCATTGGCTGATCTTTGGAAGTAGATCACCAGACCTTTCTTCCTAGTTTGTCTTAGTCTAGAAGCTCCACTGAAACCTGTTCAGCATCGTAGCAACACGCAAGCCTCCACTGACAGATGGGTGGTGATTACGCAAGTTAAAATAAATTTTAAGCCTGACTTTGTGACGTGAAATTATGTGTTTGTTACATTTGGACACTTGTTATCAGACTTAAACAAATAAAAACGCCTTTTAAAAGATCTGATCTGATTGTAAACAGGAAAAAATGGAGTTCTGAAACATCTGAGTAAAAAGTAGTGTCTAAATGGTGTCTGTGAATATGTATTTGTGGCTGTGTTTATACATTTTATAAAAACTGGTATAAAGCTTATGAAAATAATTCCCCCAAATAGTGATACCACTGATATAAATACAAACATGGATAGAAACAGCCAAGTTAAATAAATAAGTAGCACAAAGGTGAACTTAAGGGTTTTTTGAAACGTTGAATTCAGTCACGTAGGGACGATGTGTTACGTGGCATTCAGCCCGTTGATTCACTCCTAGGGGAGAGCGAGCCAGGGCTGCAGTCACAGCTGCACTCACCTGCCCTGTGCAATTCTAGTTTTACCTGCAGAACCTGAGGACGACAAAATTAAAAAGGGAGGAAGTGGCTCATCGCTTGGTAGGAAACTCAGTTTAGACTACTTTTTCCCAAAATGATGTGTGTTCCCTTTTCAGATTTATCGGTGAGTTATCTCACAAACGGTGTTGCTCACATTCTCGAACCTTGTCCTCACCTGTTGATGGGACTCCTTTCCTCCTCCACGTTTTGTGCTGGACAGAAAGCAGCGCCCGGCTGGCCTTGTCCCAACCTCCAGAGGCTGAAGGGGAACGCCAGCCGCACCGCTCTGCCCGCTTGGCCATGGCTTGTGATCGCTGTGGTCGTCTCGGCCCACCTTGCTTGTCACGGACGGTTCCGGAAGATCAGCAGCCTCACTGTGCTGAGGGAGCTGAGCTGGTCCTCGCTCCCTCCTCCTGTTCATGACATCCCTACGTTTCATTCAAACAACTACTTGGCATTTGTTGTCTCCCTTTTTCTTTGGTCAAGTTTTCTTGTTCATTTTAAAATCTCCTTGGGGTTCAAGCCAGTTCACAGGTTAAATCTGCTTTAAAATGAATGGGCTGAGGAGATATGGAGAACTATTTAAGAAGCAGTAGCTTTTTCACACCAGGCCTACATTTTATATCTCCACTCCTAAGGGGCCTGGTGGTACAACGTTAAGTGCTCAGCTGCTAACTGAAAGGCTGGCGGTTCGAACCCACCAGCGGCTCTGGGGGAGAAAAGACCTGGCAATCTGCTTCCATAAAGATTACAGCCGAGAAAACTCCATGGGGCTGTTCTACTCCGTCACATCGGGTCTCTGTGAGTCAACATCGACTTGACGGCACCCAGTAACAGCAACTCCAAAGAGGCAGTATGGTACAGGGTACCTTCTAATCCTGGTTCTGCTGTGTGACCTTGAGCAAGTTACTTAACCTCTCTGTGCCTCAGATTGTTCATCTCTACAGTAGGCATAGTAAAAACCCTTACCCCTTATAGATTTGTGGGGAAGGTTAGGTGAGTAAATAAATGTAATGGGTCTGGCACAAAGTAAGTGTTGCAGCAGCTGCTCTTCTGGCCCAGTACAAAGGACGTGCCATTGCCAGCTCTCACCGAGGCCCAGAGCTCACACAGGTCGCTGCTCTGTGTCACAGTGATGCTTCCACTTTGGCTGGTGACAAGCTTCCAAAGATGCTGTCTCGGTCTCTGAGAAAGACAAAGCACTCTGATGTGGGAGGTCATCAGAACCTCCACAGGAAACCCCAGGTATTTTGTGTTTCTCATCGGTTCTATTGCTTTGTCACCAAATGCCTTACTCTTTCACTCATTTGATTTTGAAAATAGCCTTCTTAGTAATGTCATTATCCCAATCCTTTCTTGAATTCTGTACTTCCAGAATTTTCTTGGAGTTAGCAGAAGCTATGAAAGTTTCCAGCTGAACAGAAGAGAAGGAAATGGTTGAGTTGGGAATGTTTTGGTGTCATTAGTGTGAATATTGATGAGAGGTCAGCCTGAACCAGCATCCTATGTATATTTATAGGGCATGACAAAACCCCCCAGATTTTCCTAATGACCACATACCAACTATGTGTTTTAAGGATCAAAACATAATCTGTCACATTGCTCTTAAAAAAAAAAAATTGCTGTTGAGTTGATTCTGACTCATGGCAATCCCATGTGTGTCAGAATAGAACTGTGCTCCATAGGGTTTTTAATTTTTTTTGAAAGTAGATCACCAGGCCTTTCTTCCAAGGTGCCTTTGGGTGGATTTGAAGCTCTAGCCTTTCCGTTAGTAGCCGAGCACATTAACCGTTTGTACCACATTGCTCTAAACTAAAACCAAACCCGTTGCTGTGGAGTCCATTCTGATTTACGGCAACCCCATGTTGTTGGCCAAAAACAAAGAAACAAAGAAACTAGTCTCATCTACTACTATATATATATATATTTTAGCAGCCTAAAAAGTCTACAGTGTACCTGGCAGCTCCTCCCTGGTGTGGATATTTGTTCACACCCTGACCATTCCAATCCTGTGTGGCCTGAACGTGTTCTGCCAAAAGCCTCTCTGGACTGCGCGGGGTTTGCATTTGGATAAGCGCTGTCTCTCACTACAGAAGACGTAGAATGTCACCGATGGCCAGTGCGCGGACCATCGGTGTTCCTGCGGGAGTTCAGTGGTGCCTCAGTAACAGCCAGTCTGCTGTTCCCTAGTGTTGGCACCAACCTGGCGTCACTCAGCCCATGTGCTGCATCATGGACAGGCCATGGGTGGGGTTGAATTTGGATCACTCCTGAAAAACAGTGAGTAACAATAAACCAACCTTCCAAACACCAGACCTTTCCCAAGTTCTGTACCAGATCTGCAGGGGTGATAGATAGCAGGGAAGGTTCCCACTCAGGCCTGAGCCGGCAGCTGGAAGTGGGCAGGTACTGGTTCTGGTGATAGTGGACCCTTCGTGGCTGTGCCAAGCTCACTGGAGGAAGTCTTTTATTACTCGCTGGGGTCAATGACTAGCAAAGCGCAAAACCAAAAAAACAAAAAACCAAAAAAACCCATTGCTGTTTAGTCAGTCCCAACTCACAGCAATCCTATACGACTGAGTAGAACTGCTCCATAGGGTCTCTAAAACTGTAATCTTTACAGAAGCAAACTGCCACATCTTTCTTCTGCAGAGCAGCTGGTGGGTTCGAACCTCTGACCTTTGGTTAGCAGCCAAGTGCTTAACCACTGTGCTCTCAGTAAAGAGCAAGGCATGAGAAACTCATGCATACCTGGGAAGGTTAGCTTTTTATCCTCATGTAAATCCGTGGTGAGCCTTTTTGTTTGTCCCTTCTGAAATTTGACATGAACTTAAGACTTTCTTGCCTATCCTGACTTTGGGTGTGATTCTCAGCCAGGTTTTTCAGGAATAGAATTATTGCCTGGCTTCCAGTTATGTTAGGGTAATCTGGAACAGTCTACCGATCCTGGTCTTTGAATGGCTTTAGGGGGCTTTCAAAAAAAAAAGTGAGTTGTTCAACAATGGTGTTCTGATGCAAGGGTTCGAGTCCATCTCCTGTTCGCCGGCCAGATCTGCTGACTCATGCTGCAAGACCAGTGTCTGGCACATAGTAGGTCCTCATTGTTCCTCTCCCACGTGGATTAACTAGTACTTAGAACATTAGACTTCTCTAAGAAAGCCACAGCCCTGTAAGAGTGATAGCTAGCTTTTATTTTTTATTGTTATTTAAAAAATGAATTATTTCAAACATACCAAAATTATTGCAGATACTAATGCACACAGGCGTACCCTATAGGTTTCAAATGTTAACATTTTGCCATATGTCTTCTTTCTCTTCCTTTCTGTCTCTCTTTTAGAACTCTTTCTCTCTCACTCTCTCTCTTTTTAAAAGAAAGCCCCATAAATATTGTGGTAAGGCGCTCTCCCCGTGCCCTGGGGCCTGACCGTATTGCGATAACATCCTAGTGGTGTATATTCTTCCCGTCAAGTTTGTAACTTTTACCACATCTCTGTGTACGTATCAATACTATATAATGTTGTATGGCTTGTTCTAAAATGTACATTAATGGTGTAATAATGTATTAGATCCATTTGTACCCTGTGTTTTTAACTCCTTTTTGAGATTTATCTACATGGATGCCTGCAGACCTAGTTTATGTTAAGCTGCTGTACGGGGTTCCATGGTATGAAATACACCATCATTTATTTAGATACTTTATATGTGTTATTTAACGATCACAAAAACACTTTGAAGTATTCTTGACTCCGTTTCAAAGCTTCAATTAAAACCCAGATTTGTCTAATTTTACCATGCCACGTTTTCTATAAATATTAGGAAAATAAAGGTGGGAAAATGAGCTTTGAGGCTGCTGCCTAGCATATCTCTGTGACCCCAATGTGAAGGAAATGAGGGGTCGGGTTCTCCACCGTCCCCCCGCCCGCCCCACTCTCTAGACTGGAGCCGGCAAGACCAGGGCAGCTCCATGTTCCTCCGCGGGGGCTACACTGTAGGAGGGTCTGGGATCCGCTGAGAGTGGTGGGGATGTGGGAACTTTGGCTCGAGGGAAGCACAAGACCTTTTCTTTCTGAATAACCAAAGTGGTAACTTAGGGATATTTTTGAGGTTCAAAAGGCACGGACATGGACCCAGTGCTCATGGAACTTAAAATCTGGCAGAGGAGACAAAACTCACATCCTTTTGGGAATCCTTTCAAAATGTCTAGTATGAAATTCATTTTTAAAACGCTGCATAACATTCCATGTATGGGTGTATCATGAGTTATTTGGCCGTCCCCTTACTGATGAAAACGGTCACAGCTAATGTCCTCCTGGACGTGCCCCTGTATGTGTGTGGTGCTCTCAGTTCTGTGGGAGAGATTCCCAGGAGTAGGATGGCTGAAAAGAAGGGTGTATGCATTTTTAATTTAAAGAAAAATTTTATTGTGTTTTCGGTGAAGATTTACCAAGCAGTTTAGGTTCCCATTCAGCAATTTCTACACAAGTTGTTCAGTGACATTGGTTACATTCTTCACGATGTGTGAACATTCTCAGTATTTTCCTTCTGGTTGTTCCATTTGTATTTTTTTTTTT